GAGCAGAGACAGCAGAAGGGTCTGACGGCCGGATGCGGCCCCCATGGGTGCCAGTGGGACTCGGCACTGCTCCTCATCACAACGTCGCTTCACAGCGGGTCCGTGTGTGGGGCCCCTGGAGCGCACCGAGGAAGGGCAGGACGGTCCATGTCTTTCCAAGAAACCACCTCTGACAGTGATGTCCATTTCACTGGTCAGCGAGGCCAGCGGGTGGCCTCGGGCTGTGTGAATCAGGCCTCTGCACACGTATTAGCCAGTTTCTTTTCCTTTCTTCTTCTTCTTTTTTTTCAGTTTTCTGAGATGGTGTGGGAAGAGGCAGGGGGATGAGGGAGCGGGGCAGGTGTGGGAGAGACATACGTTGTACACCTAGGGCATGTCAAAATAAAAGCCCTGTACAACTGACTGAAGCCAATAAAAAATGTCATTGTGTCCTTTCTCTGCCCGTCTTTCTGAATCGACAGTGGCCGGCGTCTGTCTGAATGACTGCCCTTCTTCCCTTCCTCTCATCGCAGAGCAAGGTCAGGTCACATCTGAGCGTGAGACTGTGTGGTTTCCCTGATACCGGGGTCAAACTCAGAGCCTTGTCCTTGCTAGGCCAGTGCGCTCAGCCACTTGAACCATGCAACCATGCCCCGGCTCTTTATGCTTTAGGTATTTTTCAGATAGGGTCTCATATTTTTCCCTGGGGATGGTCCTCAATCACAGTCCTCCTACGTACAGCCTCCTGTAGGACTGGGCTGACTCTTGCTAGCTGCGGTGCCAGCCTTGACTGAGATGTCTTCATTTTGCCCAGACAAACTGATTCTCTCACTCACTGAGGTCATAAGTGTGAGCCACCATGTAAAACCCCTAGCAACCTTTAATGATGATGGTCTGTTTTGGATATGGCCGTGCTGGTATACATCTGCAAACCTGCATTTCTATTTATGTGATTTCTTTCCGTGTGTGTGTGTGTGTGTATGTCTATGTTGGTCCTGAGGCTTGAACTCAGGGCCTGGGCACTATTCTGCAGCCTTTTTGTTTTTTGGTTGGTTGTAGGGCTTGAACTCAGGGCTTGGGTGCTGTCCCTAAGCTCTTTTTGCTCAAGGGTAATGCTCTACCACCTTGAACCACAATGCCACTTCCAGTTTTGTAGTGGTTAATTGGAGAGAAGAGCCTCACTGACTTTCCTGTGTGATCCTCAGATCTCAGCCTCCTGAGTAGTTAGGATTGCAGGTGTGAGCCACTGGCGTCCAGCTGCTTTGTTCTTTCACAGACCGTTCCTTTGGTGGTCATATTTAAGAGGTCAGACCCCTGTTAGATATAGAAAGGTCATGATCCCAGTGTTCTGAGATCTATGTGCCCACTCTGTGCCCACATAAATGTGAACAGCCAAACTTTACAGCGGGACCACTGAAAATCCTGATGGATTCATGGGGTCAGGGTGTGTGTGTGTGTGTGTGTGTGTGTGTGTGTGTGAAAGCAGACAACCGCTAAGTACTGACCACAGACGGGAGCATCATTTCATCTCCGGCCTGAAGCCAGTGGAGAGTCCAACCCCTGATACCACAAAAAAAGAAAGGGAAAAAAAGAAGATGCTGGATTTATTTAGTGGTGCACATGAGATGAAATGAGTAAAATGTAAGATTTTCCTGTTGGGAGAGATTCAGTTGTTTAGTGGGAGGATAGGGGCTGCACTCTGCCACGGTGGATGTGTCAGGTCGAGGCTGCCGGGACTTGTTTAAAGAAGGTTTTAAGGCCAAGGTAATTAACATTGTTAGCTTGGGTTAGATGTAACAGAGGTTTTGTATTTGGAGCGTGTCTTATAGTTCCTGTCAGCCAAGGCCAGGCATGTCCAAGAAGGTATTTGTGCAGTGGTGGGGAGACGGGACCCCAAGGAGAGCTACATTCCCACAAGCAAACAAGTGAGCAAGCAAGCATCTCTTTTCTGATACATCATGTCCAACTAATGGGCTTCAGACAGGCATAACGATGATTTATTTTAGCAGCTTCAAGCCCTTAAGGACAAAAGAAAGAGAAATTAAGAAACCTCTTGTGAAATAATAAAAGAGAAGCCTCTTCTGAGGCCTTGTTACAGGGGGAGGAACAATAGGCAGAAGGCTGCTGACAGACTGCATAAGAACTGCTTCCAGGAAATGTTACTTAAATCATTTTTTTTACAATTAGGGAGTACAGTAGTTCTGGGCTGAGTGCAGATTGAACACACACATTAGGTTCATTCTTTCCAAACTGTCAGTGAGAGTAAAACTACAGCAAAGGGAGGATGGGTGGGACAGAAGGGAAATGGCAACAAGGTTTGGGGCCTGGAGCTGGATGACAGGTGTGTGCAATCACATGGCTTGGTTGTTGGAATGGAGTCTTGCCACTTTTGCCTAGGCTGGCTTTGAACTTCCATCCTTCAGAGCTGCCTCCTGAGTAGTTGGGATGATAGATGTGAACGACTGAGCTCAGCCATTAAAAAAATTGGGGTGGGGATTTTTGTGGTATGCAGCATGATATTTGGTGATACATTGAGTATAAAGATCACTATAAGGGAAACAAATAGATGTAACCATTCTAGTTACTTTTTCTTTGATGGCAATAGCAACAGTACTTTCTCTCCTATAGTGCGCCTGTTTTACATGAGATTTCCAGACTCCATCCCGCACACCTGCTGCTTTGTAGCTGACCGGCATCTCTCTACTCCTTTTGTCTCTGTGTGTGAAACACTTTAGATCTCACACGTTGAGATCAGGAAGCATTCCCGTGTCTGACGTTTCCCTGAGCACAGGGTCTTCCAGGCCATCTACCGAGGTAATGGGAAAGCGTGGTTCTTGTTTTAGGGTGACTAATATTCCATTAGGGACACATGCCAGCGTTTCTTGGTTCAGTCCTTCGTTTGGTTTCTTTTTTTTTGGTCAGTTGTGGGGCCTGAACTCTGGGCCTGGGCGCTGTCCCTCAGCTCTTCAGCTCAAGGCTAGCGCTCTACCACTTGAGCCACAGTGCCACTTCTGGCTTTTTGTTTATGTGGTGCTGAGGAATCGAACCCAGGGCCTCAGGCATGCAAGGCAAGCGCTCTACCACTGAGCCACCTTCCCAGCCCCTCGTTTGGTTTCTTGTCTTGGCTTCGATGAACACGGCCAGGAGTCTGATAGTGCGGACGGCTGCAGGTGGTTTCTTGTGCTCTGGGTAGAGTGGCCGGGCCGTGTGGCACCATTTTACCTCCTTCAGACACCTCCGGAGTGTCTCCCGGAAGAGCTGCGCTGATGGACATTCACCCGGTTCGCGGGTTGGGCGGGAGGCGGGATGACGCGGGCACGGCACGGCGCGGGCACGGCGGGGGG